AAAAAGTGCTGTAATAGGAGTGCCTGGGTGGCTCAGTCAGTTGAGCGTCTGCCTTCAGCTCAGGTCATGATCCCAGGGTCCTGGGATTGAGCCCCATGTTGGGCTCCCTGCTCCGCGGGGAGTCTGCTTCTCCCTCTCCCCCTCCCCCCCACTCGTGCTTTTTCTCTCTCTAATAAATAAATAAAATCTTTAAAAAAAAGTGTTATAATACATATTTGTAACAGGCGCCAAGGGATCACACATGAGGGAGAGAGGACATTCCAGAAGGAGAAGACAGCATGCAAGCCTTGAGAGCAAAGTCATTGCCATATTTATATTGTAAATAGTTTCTTTAAAGTTTCATGCTAGGAGTACATACATGATTCAAAGTAAAAGACTCAAACATTGTAGTTTTTTTTTTTTTAAGATGTATTTATTTATTTTAGACAGAGAGAGGGAGGGACAGAGTGAGTGAGAGAATCTCAAGCAGACTCCTCCCCCGCCCCGAGCGTGGAGCCTGATGTGGGGCTTGATCTCATAACCCTGAGATCATGACCTGGGTTGCAACCAAGAGTCAGACATTTAACCGACTGAGCCACCCAGGTGCCCTTCAAATATTGTAGTTCTTAACAATTTCTGGAGAGCCCCAATCGATCAGTGCTTTGGACAAATTCAGAAAGTGGCACAACTTCCCATCCTCTCTCTTGGCACATGCTGGGTGCACTGGGAGCCCGGCAGGTGCACAGACTTCTGCTCACTTGGAGGCTATAGGAGGGGTGGGTCTGCCTCCCTTACTGTCTGCGCCAGCCAACCCTGGTTCTGAAGGCCTAGGCATCCACCCCAAATTCATCCTAAAACTCCCTTGCAAGACGGGCTGGGGAGCATCTCAAATTCTGCAGGAGCTCTCCCACCTGTGCCCGCCCCCGGCCAGCAGCTGCTGATTCCCTCCCAGGACTGGGGACTCACCGGCTTCCTGCAGCAGCCGTAGCCCTCGCTTGGCCTCGGCTAGGGGCAGTACAAAGGATGTCTTGGCTGTGTGGAAGCAGAAGCCGCACTTATAGTTGCACTGGCGGGTGAAGTGGTAGTTGACGCTGGTGGGGGTGGTGGGCTGGTCCGGGCCCTTCTCCTCCTCCCCTCTGCTCTCCTGCAGTTCACCCTGGCCCAGCTGCAGTGGCCGGGTGCTCTCGCCCCTTGCCAGCCAGAGAGCTGACCTGAGCCAGAAGAACCAGGGGACCACGCTGCTCCATAGAGAGCTCAGTGGCTTCCTGAAGGCGCTCAGCAGCTTTCCAGCAAAAGCGATTGGCATGAGCATCCACATGGTGGCCAGGCGCCCTGAGGCTGCACTGAACTTCAGGATTCAGTTTATGTATGTGCTGGGGCAGCCTATCACATGGGCAGGATGGACACACCTCTGACTAACTCTCCACTGAGCTCAAGTTTCGGTTTTCCTGTTCACGAAAATGAAAGTTGGAACAGGGCCAAGACCCAACGCTCAGGATCAGGGCTATAGGCATCTGCCTCTCTCTGCCTCACCTTTCACCTGTCTCCTGGGTCAACACTGGCCTTCTAACTGGACACAGATCAGGATCTTGCTCTCTGTCCATATCTCCATCTAGAGCTGCAACTTGGAGAGAGATACAAGCACCTCCTCAGATGTATTACTCATGCATGATACAGCATGCTGGGGCTCTCTCCCGGCGCCCTTCCCGAGGGGGGCCCGCCCTGACAGTTCGTTATGAAAGTCAAAGAATGCAAAGTATGACTGACCTGTGCAGGCTGAAGACAGAACCCACTCGCCTCAGGGCCCCTTCCAGATCACAGTCAGAATGCACAGGCATATAATAGCATTTACACTTAATCTGCCTTTAGTTATTCATCTTATGTATTTTCATAGTGTTGAAATGTAGACATTTTTTCCCTGCATATCTATTTATAGTTTATTTTTTAATAATCTCTATACCCAGCATAAAGCTCAAACTCATGACCCTGAGATCAAGAGTCGCTCCCTCCTCCAACTGAGTCAGCCAGGTGCCCCATTTCTATTTTATTTTTAAAAGACCATAGGAAGGGGCACCTGTGTGGCTCAGTCAGTTAAGCGTCTGCTTTTGGCTCACGTCATGATCCCAAGATCCTGGGATAGAGCGCCGCATCGGGCTCCCTGCTCGGCAGGGAGTCTGCCTCTCCTCCATCTGCCTCTCCCCCAGCTCATGCTCTCCCTTGTTCTCTCTCTCAAATAAATAAAAGACCACAGGAAAATCAGATGCTTTTCTAAGATGGTTCTTTTTTTTTTTTTTAGGATTTTATTTATTTATTTGACAGAGAGAGAGATGGCGAGAGAGGGAACACAAGCAGGGGGAGTGGGAGAGGGAGAAGCAGGCTTCCCGCCGAGCAGGGAGCCCGATGCGGGGCTCGATCCCAGGACCCTGGGATCATGACCTGAGCTGAAGGCAGACGTAACAACTGAGCCACCCAGGTGCCCCGCTAAGATGGTTCTTAATTGTCAAGAGTTACAGTGGCTTCTTCCTTATTTTTACCGTTTCCTAGAAAGCACTGTCAAATTTTGTGCTGAAACTTTTTTTTCTTTAGTTGTCTTTAATCAGAGTTGTGTTTGAACAGGTACTCTTAAGTTTTCCTGAGACCTGTGGAAAGTTGCAACAGTCCTAGTGGGGAAGCTTCTGGAGCCGTGAACCCAGCTCATCATTTACTATGTGATTTTGGTAACTTACATTATTTCTCTGGGTCTCCATTGCCTCATCTGTAAATCCAGCTGTCTCGTGGGATTTTTGGGAAGACTGAAAATTCTAATGCATATGAATCACATAAATTGGGACAGTGTATGGAAGACTCTAAGTGTTCAGTTAGGGTTAGCTATTGTTTTTCTAGTAGTGTTATGTTCTGAATGGAAACAAAGATAACTTTCATTTTACTTAGAAAGGAAACTGAAAGCAAATTCACTAAAATAGCAAGCCTATGTGTAATGATTTCCAATTATGCTCTGGTGGATAGATTCCAAGTGCTTGAAATCATCTTAGCCACAAACATTTTGAAATATCACCATGGTATGACAATCAAGAAATACTTTTTGTTTCCTTTCTTTGCTAGATCACATGTATATGAAGAAACAAAAACCAAGTCAGTTTATATTTCAAATCAAAGCAGCATGGCACAGAAGAGAGCCATGTAGGCTTTTCAAGCTAAATATTTTAAGATTTCAATCCTAGTTCAGCCAGGAATGTTTAATTTTGGGTAAATTTCTTTACCTGCCTGATCTTGTTAACACATCTGGGAAACACGGGTATTAATATCACACGCACAGAGGGCATTGTCAGAATTAAATGACATAATGTATGTTAAGTACAAAGAGTGCTGCTTGTATAATAAATTAGCAATAGCGCACAATCCAGCACTGGGTACCAGGCATTGCTCCGCACTTTGCATGTACTAACTTCTTTTATAGCGGGGGAAACTCACGTCACACAGGGAGTAAGTGTCTGAACTGGGATTTAAACACCTGCATCACTGCTCAATGATTGATCATTATTAGCACATTATTTTATTGTTTTTTCCTAAGTCTGTTCTAACGAGACCAGTTTCTTTTATTCGTTCATGTGTTCATTCACTCTTTCATTCATTCATTCATTCATTCATTCAGGCACTCTCTCTTTCCTTCCTTCTTCTCTGCTTCAACAACTGAGAGCCTCCTATTTTTTAGGTAAAATATTAATAAATATAAAAAAATAGAAATAAATAAGTCAAAGTCTTTCCCAGCAAAGAACTCACAAAAGTCCTTGAACAGATGTTCTATTCTTTCCAACTTGTCGCCTCCCATTCATTTAAGAGTAAGTTTCAGGAGTGGTAGACTTTCTTAATCAAAGTCATGGCTTGCGCAGGCCCAGGGAGGGATTTTTTCTTCCAACTGCTCAAGACGGGGTAGGCTGGAGGAGGTACAAGGCAGCCCCCTTTAGGCTTTCTACTCAGGACTTGGCCATCTCTAAAGGCATCCAAATGCAACTGGAAAACAGCCAAATGTCATCACCATTTTTCTTTAGCCAGAGACTTTTTTCTCAAAACACCTGCACATCCTTAATGTACTCCATGCTCCCTGATGTGGAGGGACATTTCCTGCAGGAATGTCCCAGCACCGGCTGCAACCCATTAGCAGATGGTGGAATCGGTTCAGTTATTTGCAATCATCATAACATTTCTGTGGTAAATCCTTTACTGACACATACTGTACATCAGTACCATACATCAACCACTATACATAGATCGAAAGGTGCACAGTTCATAAATGCACAGCACAATGAATTCTTGGCAGAATGAACACACATATGTAATAAGCATCTTTATCAAGAAAAAGAATTTTACCAAGAAGTCTCCAGGACCTTCCCCCAGGCCCTGAACCCTACCTCCACTCCAAAGATAACCCTGCCCTAAAAACCATACTCTAGGTTACAACAGCACGTCCTCTTTCTGCTGGGCTTCTCTCACTCAGTGTTGTGTTTGCAGACTTACCCACTTTGCCGTGTTTAGCAGTAGATTGTTCATTTTCATAGCTCCCATTTATTGATTTCATTGTTTAAATATACCACAATACATTTAATTATTTTATTATGATGAGCATTTGGGGAATATTTTGCTATTACACCATGCATTTTCTTGTACATATCTTTTGGTCGACATATATGTAGGCATTTATGTTGGGTATATACCCAGGATTGGAATCACTCGTTCATATGGTTTATGTGTGTTCCCCTTGAGCATATACCTCCAAAGAGTCTTCCAGAGTACTTGAACCAATTTACACTCCCGCTAGAACACTATACTTATGAAAACAACTCTGCACACTAAATGCCCCAAAGTGAGATTGCTCACAGAGAGTAAGAATGATCCTGTCCTCAGCTAAAATCATCTTAATCTCTTAATTGCTCCTTGTCTATTAGCCCATACTTCAACCACATATCTACAATAGTTCCTGTTTGTCCAAAAGTTGTATTCCTTCCAGAATTAAACGTACAGCCATGGTAAATCCAAACTGCTTCAATTATAAAGTTTGTTTGCCCTCAGTTCATCTAATGTTTTTCATCTTTACTCTAAATGTTTGAGTTTTCCCGATAGGATTTTTGTTTTCAGTATGCTTGACAATAGTTTTTTATAAAGATTTTATTTATTTATTTGTCAGAGAGAGAGAGAGAGCGCACAAGCAGGGGGAGCTGCAGGCAGAGGGGGAAGCAGCCTCCCCGCTGAGCAAGGAGCCCGATGCGGGACTTGATTCCAGGACCCGGGTATCATGACCTGAGCCGATGCGGGCCTCGATCCCAGGACCCTAATGACCTGAGCCGAAGGCAGACGCTGAACCAACTGAGCCACCCACGCGTTCCTGTTTGGCAATCATTTTCCAAAGCATCAGCTATTGAGTGTAAACAAAACATCTGAGTAATTGTGTAAAAGCTGCTATACCAAGGTGCGGGCTTCGGGCTGATACAGCATGCCAGGACCAACGAATTGGACCCGAAGGCAGGCCTTTATTTGGCTCCCGTGCAAATCTGGCGATACGTCCTAGTTTGCGAGTCAGCAAAAGAGGGGGGTAATTCCAAGAAGAGGGAAAAACGCTCCCTGTTCAGGCCTTCAAAGCAGCCCATAGGACTTGGGTCAGAGTGAGGGCGAGACAGCGGGTCAGGTGGAAGCTTCAGGTCGAGGAAGGGGCCAAAGGGGTCTGCAAGTCCTGCCCCCGCCAGGAGTCTGCGCCGCACTGAAGAGCCAGTGAGGGAGCGGGGGCGGGGGGCAGGCAGAGAACGAAGCTAAAAGGCAGAGCTCTGGCGCGCGCGGTCTCCGGGACACACTCACATACACACACGCGCGCGCGCGCACACCCGGGACGTAAACAACAGAGGAGGAATCAGTGCAGGGCCTGGGGCCACCTGCCGCTTCCCCGCACGCAGCGCCGGGCCGAGAGCACCCTCCGGGTGGCAGCCGGGACCGCGCCCGCCACCTGCGGCCGCCCCCTCCCCGCCGCCGCCGTTCGGGGCGCGGAACCCGAGCGGGCAGAGGGGGCCGAGGCCGCCAGAGGGTGCCCCCAGCCCCACCCCGCCCGCCGATCACTTAGCTTTCGTTTCCCCGGTGGCGGTGGCGGCCCGAGAGCGGCGGGGGCGGGACCGGACGAGCCCATGGCCTCCGCCCTCCGCCCGCGCTCCCCACTGCTGCTCGGGCGCCTCTCGGGACCGCGACGCGGGGTCTGCGCTCCGGCCATGGCGCCGCCGCACCGCTTCGCGCTGGAGCTGCCGGGCTGCACGTTAGCTCACTTCGCCGTCGGCGGCGACGCCCTCGGCGCGCTCCCCGACCCCAGCGCGGCCGCGCTCCTGGGCCCGCCCGGCCGCAGCTACTCGCTGTGCGTGCCGCTGGCGCCGGGCGGGGACTGCGCGGCCCGGGTGCGGGCGGCGCGGCTGCACCAGCGCCTGCTGCACCAGCTGCGCCGCGAGCCCCTCCGGCGGTGCCGGCTGCGCCCGCTGCTGTGCTACGGCCCCGGCGGCGGGGCGGGCGGCGTGCAGCACGGCTTCCTGCTCCACGACCCCAGCGACAGCCCCGACACCCGGCGCGCGTTGTTCTCCCTGCTCGGCGAGTCCCCGGAGGGCCCGCGTCTGGGCGAGTTCGTGGGCGACGCGCGCCTTCAGGTGTGGCAGCGCCTGTGGGAGCTGCGGGACGGCGCGGGGTGGCGGCAGGTGGGCCCCCGCGAGCGCGTCGTGTCCGCCCCGGAGCCCGCCCTGCACCCGGTGGTGCCCGACCTGCCCAGCTCTGGGGTCTTCCCGCACCGGGAGGCCGCCCGCGCAGTTCTGGAGGCGGTAAGAGTTCTGCCCCTTCCGGACACTCGGGGTGGGTCCCCCAGACAGGGAGTGGACAGGGCGCGCGCTCTCCGGGGCTGGCCTCTCCAGCCTGGCCTCTGTTGCCCCGGGAACTGATTGACGCCGTCGACAAACCAGGCCGCCTGGGTGCCAGACTCTGGTTTAGACACTGCGGCTCTTTTCTCCATTCTTGGCCGCCAGGACCTTCCCATCCGAGGCGGGAACTGATGTCCCAAGGCCACGCTCGCCAGGCCTGCTCTGAATGCGTGCAGAAGGCGCCTCAGAGGGAAGAGGCAGCCGGGTGCGGGGAGGATCATGCCATCTGGGAGGCTGGGGCATGGTTTTGGTGAGAAAAAGGCATGAGTTTGGAGTTTAAGAACCTTGTTCTAAAACCGTGGCTGCCTGCTTACTGGCTGCCGGTCCAGGTCGCACGACCCCTCTGTTCTCCCTTTGGTCTGTGAAACACTTGCCTTGCCTTGGTCAGGACAATCAGAGCTCTGGCACACAGCAGGTGCTCAGGAAAGGAGAGCGAAGGTTCTTTCCCAGCGCAGCCTGGGCGGGGCCTGGGATGTCCAGACTCGGCTTTCTGAGGCTGCACTGTGGAATTTAGTGCATTTTGCAAACTTTTAGGATTGTATTACGAGGCGGTTTAAAAGGGCAGGACCAATCGCTTGGGTTTAAATCCCAACGCGGCATTTATTACCTGTGTCACTTTCAGTTTCTTATCCCCCCCCCACCCCCCGCCTCAGTTTCCTTAGTTCGTAGAGGGGAATAATAATGCTGCCACCCTCACCGAGTTGCCGTGAAGGCTGGCCATGTTAATCCTCGAAAGCACTTAGAAGATGAAGCACACACATGTACAAACGTGCGGGCCTCGCTGCAGAGAGGCCGCGGTGAGCAGTGCGGGAAAGCGGAGGTGAGAGCTCAGAATGCCCGGGACGCCCGCGCCACTCACCCGGTGACCGCGGCGCGCGGCTCTCTTCTCCGCCCCCTAGCGGTTAGGAAGGGACGGTGCTGACTGCTACCGGGAGCTAGGGCCGGAGCTGATTTTCCATGTGCTACAGTTTCGCTGTCGCAGGGTCACCCTGCTCTGCACTTGCGGTATTGCCTGCCCTTCCTCCTCTGGGGTAGCTGGTCAGTGTGGGTTGCGGGCTGACTGATCTCAGCCGCTATCGCCTTTTTTGAGGTATAGCTATTCAGTAAAAAATGAAGGAATTCAGCCCTTCCCAGGTTCAAAATACTATGGATTTGGCACGGCGTCAAACACAACTTATGCCTTATTAGCATTGGGCAATCTTGTTCTCAGCAGTTAGAGATTGCAAAAGCCCCATTGCTTCGCTGCTGATGCACAGACGTTGTTTCGCAGTGTATACCCTTCATTCCTGAAGCCCAGGCAGTGCTTGACCTGGTGGACCAGTGCCCGGAGCAGGCCCAGAAAGGAAAGTTCCCGGTCATTGCCATCGAAGGACTGGATGCCACAGGTAATATTACCTTTGAGTTACAGGCAATGCGATTAATTGATCCCTTGCAGGAATAGACAGGTCTTTAGTAAGTAAAACTTGATACAGAGTTCAATTCGTAAGCTTCACGTCAGTCTCTAGCGTGTGCCAGGCACGGAGCTAGGCAGGCCTGGGATACAAAGACGAATAAGACCTTCGGGGGGAGGCCAGGGGAGCCTGGGCCTCAGGTGCTCCGGTGACCACGAGAAGGCACTTAATGCAGCCTCGGTGTGGGGAACAGAGCCATGGTCAGGGACAGCTCTGGAAGGGCTGCCACCGGGACTGTTTTCGGTATAGATGAGAGAAGTGCAGGTGAGGAGGGCAAAAGCGATCCTCCCGGACAGAAGAAACAGCGTGGGCGAAAGTGAAGGGACTGGAGCCAGACTGGGGTCTCTGGGAACCACGGGCGGTTCAGAGGACCCTTTTGGAGCAAAATTAGGAAGAACTAGGAAGCGGAGGGGAAAAAGCCTTGGAGCTGCCAAACAGATACCAAAACACAACGGACAACTCACACCTAGCCCCAAACACAAAAAACAGGAGAAGCGAGGCGCCAAGGGCAGCAGGATCCAGCCAAGGACGAGGTCCAGCTTGGGGCAGACGTCACGTGGTCGAGCGTGAGCCGAGGCTCCCTCCGCAGCAGGTGCAGAGTGTTTTGAGGAACCAGGTGGAGGTTTTCCCAGGCCCGGAGGTCTACGCCAGAGTTTATCATTAATTTGTAAACAAGAGCACCGTTTTGGTTTTCTTCCAAGTGTTATGATACCACATAGAGGAAATCCCGGTTCCTAAAGGTCTGCGTCTTTTTTTTTTTATTTAAATCAAGAATCATGGTAGGCAATGAACTGCTTTGATTTATAGGTGGATGGAGTGTCTCTGCTCTTTCTGGGTTAATATGAGCATTTGGGAGCCATTTGGTGGCTGTGGTAATGAAGCGCTATGTTTGTGTCTTTTCTGCAGGCAAAACCACTGTGACCCAGTCAGTTTCAGACTCACTCAACGCTGTGCTCTTGAAGTCACCACCCGCTTGCATCAGCCAGTGGAGGAAAATCTTTGATGATGAACCAACTATCATTAGAAGAGCTTTTTACTCTTTGGGCAATTATATCGTGGCTTCTGAAATAGCTAAAGAATCTACCAAATCTCCTGTGATTGTAGACAGGTAGGTGTAAAGATGCTGTGAATTTGGCGTTTTCTCCCTGAGGGTGTGTGTCTTTACCTATATATGCAAGTATACGCCTGTGTTTATTAAGTCAAACTGTATTATGATAATAATAGGAATAATGTCTATGATTTGTTAATTACCTACACCACAGGCTGGCATTTTGCTAAGAGCATAAATATATTTTACTGTATCTGGAACAATTACATGGTTAGGTGGGTACTAAATGTTATCCCCAATTTACTGATGGGAAGCCTAGGTCTTCCAAGGGTTAAGTAACTTGCCACTGACTAAGCTAGAAATAGCATATGGGGGATATTGACAAAGCCTCTGCTTTAGAAATCGATGCCTTCAGTAGTTCATTTGTTCATCAGCTTATTTATAAAACATTTATTGGGCATCTGCTGTGTGCCAAAGACTGTTCTCAATTTAGGGGATTCAACGGGAAATGAGCTAGACGGTGATGCTCTGCTTTCATGGAGCAAACACTGTTGCAGGAGAACAGTCAAGTGCATAAAGACATATGATAATATCAGAGAATGATATATACTCTGAAGAGGATAAATCAAGGTGGATATGGCTGAGGATGGCCTCTCTAAGGAAGTAACGTTGATCTGAGTTCTGAATGCCCCAAAAGAGATGGGAATGAAAACTATGGAGTAGCAGCATTATGGAGAGAGGGGTCAGCAGGAGCAAAGCCTACAGACAGAAAGAAGGTAGCATATTCAAGGACTAGAAATAGGCCAGTGTGATGGGCACATAGTGGACGAGGGGCTGTTTTCTGGATGAATGGCCAGAGAGAGGCGGGGGATAGAACAGCAGAGCCCATGTGCCAAGATAGTGCGGATTTTATTCTGAGTGCAGAGGGGAGCCCCTGGAAAGTTTCAGGTAATGGAGTGACATAAACTGCTTTAGATTTTTAAAATTCCATACCTGAGAAGTAGCTTAAAATACCACAAGAATGATTGAAGTGTATGGCAAGCACGTCATCCTCGGCTTAAAATCACCCAACTCGGTGATAATGGAAATTACAATCATGGTGAGATCCCATTTTGCTCTCATCAGGTAGGTGAGAACCAATGAAAATGTGCGGAGACTCAGAGCTGGAGATCATGGGGGTGGCTAGAAGCCCTACAAGGCGCTGGTGGGGGTGGACACGGGGCTCAGAGAGCGATCTGAAAGGGACAGCAAAGCGAACACTGCTTTCACCTCCTGAAGAAATGCAAAAGTTTCTTTTTTAAAATTTCTTTTTTAAAAATTTATTTCTTTTTATTTTTTACTTAAATTCTGTTAATTAGCACATAGTGTATTATTAGTTTCTGAAGTAGAGTTCAGTGATTCATCAGTCTTTTTTTTTGAAGCTTTTATTTATTTGAGAGAGAGAGAGTGAGAGAGAGCACAGCATGAGCCGGGTGAGGGGAGAGGGAGAAGCAGACTCCCTGCTGAGCAGGGAGCCCAATGTGGGGCTCCATCCTGGGACTCCTGGATCATGACCTGAGCCGAAGGCAGATGCTCAACCGACTGAGCCACCCAGGCGCCCCTCATCAGTCTTATATAACACCCAGTGCTCATTACATCACATACTGTCCCCAGTGTCCATCCCCCAGCCACCCCATCCCCCCACCCCCTCCGCTCCAGCAACCCTCCTTCAGCTGTGTTCATAATATTGAAAAATTTCAAAAACCGAGAGCCCATCAGTAGAAGGAAGGGCACATAAATACTGGCGTATTTGTGAAATGGAGCACCATTCAGCAATATAAGTCAGTACACTGCATCAGCGTGCATAAAACGCAAAACCCTCATTTTGACTGAGAACATCATGTTGCAGATAGGTGTTCAGTAGAATACATGCCAAATCATGACAAACTGTAGAGTCCAGAGGGGAGAAAGGATACTGAACAAATTTAACAGTACCAAGGAGAGAGAAATGCAGTTGATGCACCGTACAAAAGGTCGGAAACTGCAATTGAATTATTGCTTAATGTTCAGTAAATGTGTATTGCTGTCTGCAATTTTACTTATTTTTGGAAGGATAAGTAGGTGTATTGAAGTATGACAAGTATGCAGGAAAAAGCACTAATGCTAAATGTAAATCTCAAGGAATTTCAAGTAATGAACACACCCAAGTCTGGATGCCTGCACCCACATCCAGACTTAGAACGTTACCACACCCCATAAAGCCAGGTCATTCTCCTTCCCAGTCCCTGCCCATTTTTCCCCCACCTCTGCCCCCCCCGGTAGTGAACACTGCCCGACCTCCATCACTGTGTAATCGTCTGTACCTTAGTACTCCTGGCATCTGACTTCCTTCTTGCCACATAGGAGACTCGCCTCGCTGCTATGAACATACATATTTTTTTTTAATAGAGAGTGCGGGGCGGGGAGGGATGGTGTGGGGAGGGGAAGGTGGGGGAGGGAGAGAACCTTCAGCAGACTCCGTGCTGAGCTCAGAACCGGACTCCAGGCTTGATCTCATGACCCTGAGATCATGACCTGAGCTGAAGCCAAGAATTGGACGCTCCACTGACCGAGCCAGCCGGGCGCCCCTATGAGTATTTTGTACATAACTTGGGTGCAGGTACATATGCAGTTTTGGTGCATAGATTCCCAGGAGTGGAACTATAGGGGTGTGGGGGTTCACGTGTGTTCAGCTTTAGCAGGTACTGCAAAAAGTTTTCTGAAGTGGTTGGAAGTGGTTGGAAAGACTCACCGTGACCGCCCCTGCCCCCCAGCAGTGTTTGAGAATTTCCTGTGGCTGGTGTCCTTGTCAACATCTAGAATTGCCTGCCTTTTTTTGAGGGTCTCCACTGGTTCCTGGTGGCTAAGTTGATCAGTTACAAGCTAGTTTGCCATATCTGGAAACTTCTACCCCTTTCTTGAAATATCTTTCTCTGTATACTTTTCTGTATCTCTGAAATATTCCATGAAAAGGCGGTTCAGAGCGTGTGTAGGGAATAAAATGGGAGGTGGTGGGTTGCCAGGCAAGATGAACACAGTAAAAATAAGTTAGAAGGCCAGGGCTGTCCTCTAAGCCATGACACCAGCAGGTAGTTTTAATGCTGGGGATGGCAAGATCGTTATTTCAGGGTTGCAAGTTATAGGGGATCCTGGAGAAGGGTAAGAAATTGCATTCCTTTGTGGGACTTCTTCACCTGTGGGATGTTTTTACCCTATTATTAATGTGTCTGAATCTACCTACCATATCTGAGATCTTTTTTCTTCACACAGTGTCCTTTTTCAAGGAGACAGACTATATTTTTCCTAATACAGGGTGACTCCCTGAGGCACATGATTTCTTCAGATGTCCCTGGAGTTGCACTGGCTTCTGTGTGTGGAGAGATACCTATCCTCTCTGCTCCCAATTTCCTAATGTGTTAAATGGAGATACTCCATATCCCTTCCCTGCCTACCACTAAAACCTGCGGTGAATATCCAATGGGTTGATACACGGGGAAGTGCTTTGCAATAGCAAATTGCTATTAAGATATAAAGCATTATTATATAAGCTGTGTACAATGTGTCGGCAAATTGCACTTGATTTGAACTGATGTGGCTTGCCTGATGGCAGGAGTGGAAAATTCTAAATGGTGGAGAGTCTGAAATTGATGGCCAGTGGGTATGATTATTTAAAAGGAGGTGCAGTGTTGTTAGTGAGAGAGTTCCAGCTATAGAAAGCAGGTCTCTCATTCTTCCCTTGCTTTTTCTTCTTTGTGTCTGTGAATTGTCGGCAATTTTGTTCTTTAGAGAGATACTGTATCACCTTGTCAAATGAGAAGAAAAGAGCGGTTATTTGTTGTCTGGGTGGGTTTTGTTCATGTGTAAAGATTTTAATGAAATCCATTTTAGACTACACCATCATCTAGCTGAACAAATGAGGGCGGCAGAGTCATTTTTGATGGTGACTGTGGTTAAGGTTGGCAACTTAATCACCCTCATTACCTTTAAAAGTCTATTCTTGCGGATGGTTGTTCCACAAAAAGAAGGCTTTTAAAACGAAGATGATATCAGCCTCTGTATTCATAGCTGAGTATTTAATTCAGTGAAAATGGGACACGTGCAAAATGCAGAGCAAATTGTAGTTTGGCTGCCAAGAAAAAGAGCGCCTGGACCCTGCATGGATTTATTCAGCTTGGGAGACTAGACCATCTCACAGAGAAGGGGAAGTGCACGTTTGTAGGTGGTGAATCGGGGACGTGACAGAGAGAAGACTCCTGGGTAGGACTCCAGGAGCTAGCCGCTGGGTGGAGGCTGAGGGTTTGCAGCACACACTTCAGGAGGTGGACGGGGCTTGGAAGGGTGGATGGTATTGGAATTGACCACCTCCCAAGTTAATTTTTTTGGTCCTTTTCAGTATTGTCTGTATTACCCTCATTTGCAAATGCAGCTTTAGTTAAAACCGGTGTCCAGTAAGAATAGTATTGTCTTATGATGACAGGGTGATACAGGTTTTAAAGGACTTGTCTCTTTTTATTTTTTATTTATTTTTTTAGAAAGATTATTTATTTATTTATTTGACAGAGAACTAGCGAGAGCAGGAACACAAACAGGAGGAGTGGGAGAGGGAGAAGCAGGCTTCCCGCCGAGCAGGGAGCCTGACGCGGGGCTCCGTCCCTGGGCCCTGGGATCATGACCTGAGCCGAAGGCAGACGCTTAACACTGAGCCACCCAGGCGCCCCAGGACTTGTCTCTTTGTACAGCAACTGTGGAGGGAAACAAAAGTTGCATGCTTTTCATTGTCCAGATGGGGAAGTTGAGGCTATATTGGCTTAAATGAGTTACCTGTGTCCACAGAGCCAGTAGCGGTCAGGGGATAAATCAATACGTAGCTCAGAAAGCACTGTGAATTTATTTTGTAGATCCCAGTACATCCTTTTCACTGTGAAAAGAAGTTCAAATATAAAATGGTCAAGAATTTAGGATTTTATTTATTTATTTTTTCTTTTAAAAGATTTAGTTATTTTAGAGAGAGAGAGAGAGAGAGCACGTGTGCATGAAAGTGGGGGGAAGGGTCAGAGAGAGAGGGAGAGAGAGAATCCCAAGCAGACTCCACGCTGAGTGCAGAGCCCCATGCGGGGCTTGATCTCACAACCTTGAGATCGTGACCTGAGCCGAAACCAAGAGATGGATGCTTAATCAACTGTGCCACCCAGGCACCCCCAGAATTTAGGATTTTAAAACACTGAAGGCAGTAAATTAAAATACAGACCAGGATGGGGCCATAGGTACTTCTCTACATTGGGATGTTTATAATAATTTCATAAATATCTGTTGTACATGATAGTCCTTTGATACTGTATTTGAAGTTTTGCATTTAGTCGCTTAAGATTGGAATATGACATGAACAGGGCAAGATTATAATAGGGTATGCTGATTAATAAACTGATTCCAATTCATGCATTTGCACACCCAAAGAACATTTACTGCCTACTGACTGTGAGCCAGACACTGGTTTCAGGTTTGGGAATGCAGAGGTGACTAAAAAAGGAATTTTCTAAGGGAGGAGTGGAAAGAGGTCATACTTATAGACAAATTGCTTTTCTTTACCATGAGAAGCTCTTCGGTGGAGTCGACCATGAAAGGCATTGAGGGCCCAGAGGAGGGAACCATGAGCTCTGCTTGGGGGCTCATCTGAGCAGGGCTTTGCAGGTAGAATAGGAGTTCTGCTCGCTGAGAAGCTCACTCCAGCTGGAGGAAAGAGCATGAAGACAGGCTCCTGTGATTCAGCGTGCCTGGGTGCACACCCTGAACGCTGTTCTGTGTCTTAGTTAGGCTGGATGTTTCTGGCAGGCAGTGGAAAGCCATGGGGCATTTCGAAATAGATTGTCTTTTATCGTTGTGATTTTCTTTTCCTCCCTCTGCCACCATTTAAAATGAGCCAGTCAAGAGGGCCCTGCTTCACTCAGGGAGGATTTCACAGAGTAGTGGAGGTCGTATTTGTGTTCATTTCCCTCCCTGACAGGTGTCGACACACAGTGAGAGGCTGGGCGCTGGGCAGGACAAAGGCTGCCTCGCCGGGGTCCCCAGAACATGGATTTCATCCACAGATTTTTATGTGGCCGAGACACAAGATCAGATGCAAGGGGACTACCAAGCACATCTCTCCTCCCGGTCACCCTCCCTTTCCCGGAAGGCAATGTAGACCAGGCCAGAGAGACGTGACAGTGGGGTGTCAGCTGAGTCAGCATCGCTCTCTGAAGAGCCCATTGCATTCTCATTGTGGTTGCTGACTTCGGTTTATTTTTTACATTTTATAAATACTTTAAAAACAAGATTTAGGGGCGACTGGGTGGCTCAGTTGGTGAAGCTTCGACCTTCGGCTCAGGTCATGATCCCAGGGTCCTGAGATCGAGTCCCACGTCAGGCTCCTGGCTCAGCGGGGAGCCTGCTTCTCCCTCTCCCTCTGCCCCTCCCCCCAACTTGTGTTTTTTCTCCCTCACTCTGCTCTCTCTCAAATAAAAAAAAATCTTAAAAAAATAAGATTTAGTTTTATTTATTTGATATATGCAATGCTAAGGAAACTTGAGCAGAGCCAGCCCTGGTTTCCCCCAGCTGATTTTCAGGTGCACCTTGCCCTTCGCCTCTGTGGATGCAGAACTCACTCCTGGTCTCCTTCTCAGGTACTGGCACAGCACGGCCGCCTACGCCATAGCCACTGAGGTGACCGGGGGGCTCCAGCACCTGCCCCCGGCCCATCATCCTATATACCAGTGGCCTAGGGACCTGCTCAAGCCCGACCTGGTCTTGCTGCTCACAGTGAGTCCCGAGGAGAGGATGCATCGGATTGAGCGCCGGGGCATGGAGAGGACCAGAGAGGAAGCTGAACTGGAGGCCAACAGCATATTCCGTCAAAAGTAGGTGTCCCGGTGTGTGCATGGCAGGGCCCTGTTCCTGGCCATGGTGGTGAGCTGGGATCAGCTACGACTTTACGAATGTGGAGAAAATGACATCGTTCCCATTTTTCAAACCCATGGTACAGTATCCTCCAAGGGGGTTCAGCTCCTTCTGACGGTATTGTTCCCCCAGGCTATCTGACTGGGCCTCAGACCTTCCTTCTAGTCCTGGCTGTGCCAGGAACAGTGTGAACCTGGCTAAGACAATGCACGTTCCTGGGTCTTGGCTCCCCAGTCCTAATCTAATGGGCACGGAGTGCTGATGAGCTCGCGGTGACTTTTCCTTGGTAGGTGCTTCCCGTGTGTCAGGCATTTGCGTTCTGATGCTCTCTGATCCTGGCAAGTGAACATGAGCCATATTTTACAGTTTACAAAACTGGGGCTCAAAGGACTAAGTGATTTGTCTAGGTTGACCCAGGTGCTCTTTAGTAAAACTGGGATTAAAATCACAGTCTTTCTGATTTTAAAGGCAGTGCTTTTGTTTTCGTTAGAAATCTATGAGACACTAGCGGGAGAGTCTGGGCTGTCTTCTTGCTTGATGGCTGAGCATGAGTCAGCTCTGTAGGACGGGTTCAAAAAGCCAAAGCAGAGTAGTTTAGATAAATAAACAACAATAGCAGTGCTATCATAACACAATCCTGTGTTATACAAATAATTGAATAACAACTCTGCTGTGCGCACAGAAACCATGTCAGACCATTTACTTACACTAATTCAATTAGACCTCGTGACAGACTCACCGGGAAGGCATGATTTCAGTCCTCATTTTACAGGTGAGAAGACGGAGGCAGAGGGAAAAGAAATTTGTTAGGTTCACTCAGCTAGGAAGTGGTAAATGGCACTGTTGTAACCACCTGCCATCATACTTCTGTCAGACCGTCCGCACACTCCTTCAGAGGTCTCAAGGCTAGGTCACCCCAAAGGGAGATGTGGAAACCTGGTGCAATTTTAGAAGACTCAGCCATGAAAACAGTGCGTATGCGGAGGACCTCTGGCTTGTCTGAGATCCTTCAGGGCACAGACCGTGGAGACATTTCCCGGTTGTCCAATTAGTTAATCTCTTTGAGCCTCTGCTACTTTTTCTGCAAAATGGGGATGACGTGGTTCCTTTCCTGAGGTCACCCTGAGTATATGAAACCAGAAGAATCATGCAGAATGCTGATGCTTGGTAGGTAATAGGTATCAATAAAGGCTAGCTATTAAGCCTTATTATGAATTTATGATTTATTAAACAAAATGTATCAACTGTCTCCCGTGGACAAAGCTCGTGGCCGAGGGGAAGAGTGAGATCAACCAGATGGGGCCCTTGCCGTAAGCTGTATCCATTATGGTAGGAAAGTAGCATTTGCATGGAGAGCCGTGTTAAAAAATAAGCCAACTCTTTTCATTCTGCCTGTCCCCAGGGTAGAAGTGTCCTATCAGCGGATGGAGAACCCTTGTTGCCATGTGGTTGATGCCAGCCCCTCAAGAGAAGAAGTCCTCCAGATGGTCTTAAGCGTAATCCAAAATAATTGTAATTAATTGTAATTACTCCAAAATGTAATTATACATTTTGCTAGATTTGATGTTGTTTGATGCATCTAGGCCCACGACTGGTGACCTGGTTTCCCCAGATTACTGTTGCATAAACATAGCGTGTCCTAGAAAACTGGAGACCAGACATTTCGATTTTACTTAAACCATTGTCCTCCCTTTTGACCAATGGACCCATCAAGGTTGAGACTGTCATGTTCCAGCCAGAGATCAGTGGTTGCGTTCTTCAAGTATAACAAATGTTTTCTTGGAATGTATTTCTAACTACGTCCTACCAAATCCCTCCAAGTTTTGTCTCATCCAGAAAGCATGAGGTATACAGAAGTAACCAGGAAGATCTCCCAGATCAGTGGAAGCCTCTTCAGCCTCTCCCATGCCTACACCTGGGCCACTGATGAGATCTCATGTGGTAGACTTGCCTTCTTCCCAGTATGGCCACACTTCATCACTGGGGACTTGGCCTGCCAAGTATTCTTGAAGAAAGGGTCCATGTGTCCTGGGCTGTCTTGAGGACATTCCCACAGAGCCATCTTTGGGTAGAGGACACTTAAAAAGAAGACCTAGGACTTGTGCTCTACCACCCCTGAGATGGTCCTCTTGGTTAGCACTTCAGAGTCAAATACAGAGAATGCCAGCCCAAGGTGCTCTAAATACAAATCCACCAACCTTCTTTGAATTATGTTCTGCTTATTTACATTTCTTTCTTTTCCCCTGAAAACATGGTTTTGGATATAATGAGTGTTTTGGACTGAGCAAGATGCATTAAACTTAGCCAATCGAGCAATATATTTATGTTGATATTTACATCATGTTTCTCCTCAGTTAGGGCTCTGCTTTACTAATTAGTATTGGAGCCAAGAAGCTAAATGCAATGCTTGTTGTGTATTTTCATTACACAGATTTAATTTATCTTACTAAATAAGCACAGTGGATCCTGGAATGGGATTTCTTAGTAAATTATCTTGCACTTAAATGTCTTATGCTTACACATGAAATCAGCTTTGAGATCTGTTTGCCTAGGGGAAAAAAAAAAGCTGAGGAAAGAGGAAATTTAATAACTATGTGGCCTTGGGTGAGTCACTGAACATCAGTAGTTCATGTAACTTGATCTAAAAAGTGATAATAATTCTTTATTTGTCCTAAGTAGTTGGCTGAACCAGGTGATTTTTTTTTTTTTAAAGATTAACATTTTCAGTGTTCTTATTTTTTTTTTTTTTAAAGATTTTATTTATTTGACAGAGTTAGTGAGAGAGGGAACACAAGCAGGGGGAGTGGGAGAGGGAGAAGCAGGCTTCCCGCCGAGCAGGGAGCCCGATGTGGGGCTCAATCCCAGGACCCTGGGATCATGACCTGAGCCGAAGGCAGACGCTTAACGACTGAGCCACCCAGGTGCCCCTGAACCAGGTGATTACCTAAAATTCCTTCCAGTTCTAAGCTAGGTGAAGTTTGTAAATTAGACATTCCCCCCAAATAATTACATTTAAGGCCTTATCAGGTTTATCATACAGAATCTTAAATTATAATAAAGTTTAGTATTAATAACTATCATACTGTTTTCAAAGGAATTATAGGTAATTTTTACATAATATATTTACATGCATAAATATGTACTTGATTTCAGTTGAAAATATTTTTAAAGCCAATAAATAGCATTAGGTTTCTGAAAGATGTGATATCTAATTATGTTATTGGTGTTATTTACTTTAAACAGTTTGAAAAGCTTATGTCAGCAGTCTAGAAAAGCAAACATTTTATGCTTTCTTTCTGTACCTTGCAGATGAATAAAGTTGCTGTGATTTTCTAATTTATGATGTTGTCACAGTGTATGTTGGTTGTTCAAAGGTGCTGGTCCAGTGGGGCTTTTGTATTGTTGGGGGTTTTTGGTCAAGGAAGTGGGAAGGTGTGAGCTCGCTGGCCAAGGGGAATCTGTGGTCAAAGTGCTTTCAGAGGAAGGGAGGGGATTTTTGTTTTGTTTTAAAAAAACGGTTTCAGGAAAGTGGAATCCTTTCTTCATTGCAGATATTAAAAAGAAGAAATAATTCTTTGTACTCTTGGGTCTTTTTTTATTCAATGATAGGTATATGGTTTATAAGCCTGAGATAAGACAGTGCCTCCTGCCCAGCAACTGATGACAAGGAATCGTTTGTTTGGCTCCGTTTCGTGACACGTTCATTCTCCTTTCTGTTCTTGTGACAGACTTTTCGTGGTCCCAAATATTTATGCTCCCTTTCTTCTACAGTGATAGAATGTTTGACATGACACATGGCTGCTAAGAATCATGAGTATATTTCTAGAGCATCCTTATGGTGAGAGTGGCCAACTGGCCACTTAGAGGTTCTTCCAGTGGTCTGTGAGCAGAGGGGCTTATGGGATGTTCCTTCCCCTTTTAACCCTTCACATGGCCTGGTATTCGGCGGTGATAGTGAGCCTCCTCAGGACCAAGAGAAGAGGGTGGTGCTCTCGAGATGGAGAAGCAATGGGATGAATGAAGGCTGCCTTTACTTATGAAAATGTAGATGGGGCCTAGGCGTGAATGCGTGTGGTACCCTGAAGACGTGTCGGCCTGGGGAGGGGCTGTGGGGCAGAACAGGACCGTCCGCCTCCCCCTCAGCCTGTCCCCCACAGTGGCACCTGCCTCCGTTCTCAAGAGTGGAAACTCCTTTTTTGCTGACACTGCTCTTTGTGAAATCTCTCTCTTCTCAGAGCAGTTGTGTAGTCTTTTTTTATTAAAAATTTTATTTTTCTTAAAGCAATCTCTACATCCAATGTGGAGCTTGAATCACAACCCCAAGATCAAGAGCTGTGCGCTCTACCGATGGAGCCAGCCAGGGCCTCCAGTTATGTAGCATCTTTAAAGTGTTTAGGCCCTGGGATCTTTCTGGAATGTGTACCAAGGAAATAATCAGTGATGCACATATAAATGTTATATATGCGTAATATACTTCAAGTAATTGGGGTATATTTATGTATCTGTATAATGTACATTTATGTATAATATGTATTTGTTAAATACGTTAGGGTAAATCCTTTTAATGGAACCCTGAGCAGAATGCAGAGCACCTAAGAATGTGTAAAGCATCAAAAATACTTTGCTCTCAGTGAGAGCCAGTGATGTAAATTTCAGCAAAAAGTGATGATATAGCTAAGATGATCTTACAACACCTCGTTAGGTTGGCAGCTCCGGAATGGGAACTCTGTGCACATTAGAGCAGAATATGATTGCAGGTGTGCTGGAAGAAGGGTGTTTTTGGCCTTAGGCTTTCTTCATATTCAAGCTGTTGTTTTTCTTTGAATCTAGGAGCCAGGCACTAAGCTCTGCTTCATGTTGGCAAATATATCCACCAGCAAGTCCATTTGAACCTTCAGGCTTCAGTAAATGTAGCTTTGTTCATATACTTCGGTATTTTCCTTATATGAGCAAGGAGGGGAGAAATGGATGCTGGCCTTTCCCCCCCCCCGGGAAGGTATTAATTTTTTCCTTACTTTAAAAGCTTCATGAAATCCATTCAGCCTATAGCTGTAATCTACAACTAGGAGAAAATGGTTTCCCTTTATGTTGCCTATCAATAATTTGGTCTTTCTCACGAGCACCATAACTGGTTAGTAGAGGAAAAATATTTAGTCCTATCAGATTTAAATTTAATATAACGTGATCTTTTAACAGTCCGTCTGGGTAATGCACACTCTTGGAGAGAAAACGCTCAGTGGATCAGATTCTCCTATCTTCCAAGCCTCACCCTGGCACCTTTCCAAGATTGCATCTGGGTCCCTGGAGCCAAGAGTGCCATTTAGGCAGCCGTGGGGGTGAGGGGAAAGGGGTCTGTGGTCACATTATCCTCTCTCTAACTGGATGTGTCTTGTAGTCCTTTAAGATGAGCTTGGTCTCTGTGGGGTCTCACAGGTGTTTGGATCTCCTGAGTCTGTCTTCTATGCAGCTCCAGCCATAGTCGGCCTCGTGGCCAGCTTCAGTTCTGGATCCTCCTCTCTGGGGGCCCATGGACTCTCAGGGCATATGTCAGGGCCCCCTTTGCTCAATCATTCTGCACAG